CCGACAGGATCGACATGTCAAGGTGCTGACCCCAGCTGCATCACAGAGCATTTGCATCCCTCCGTGCCCGAAGCTCACACACGGTGGAACTGGGGGGCTGCAGCCCTGGCCAGAGATCAGTGTCTGCAGGATGAGGCTGGGGCACACGCAGGCTGAGGGAAACCAGCCAGGCAGGAATGAGACAACGCGACCTGCGCAGAGGTGGTGCCAGGAGAGGCCCGTGCCAGCATCAGAGCATCAACAAACGGGCAGGACTCCCACCCTCTCCTCCGTGCCCAGAGAGGGGCTCTTGGCTGGGGACTGGCAGAGCTGCAGCACCAGCTCGGCGCTTACCCACCCGTGGAGACCAACCCCAATTCTCCCACCTCAAAACCTGCTTAGAGCTTCGGCAGAGCAGGTGACAGCACCACCCCCGCCCCACGCACACGTCTTGACCTAAAGTGGGTACCTTCTGGCAGCGAGCAGCTCTGCTTCTTATGGCAACAGCATCTCCGGGGGAGAATATCCCTCTTCTCAAGTCTTCTCCCTTCGGCCTTCTGCTGGCCAGCCCCATCGCAGCTCTTTCGCTTCCACCTGCAAGAGGATTTGGCAGAGCGTTTCAGCCCTGCCCTCATCCCGGTCTCTCCTACTCCCGTGGTGTAATTCCTCAGGGGAAGCTCGGGATCCAGATCTCACATCAGGGCATGGTTGCACCACCACCACTCTGCTCCCGAGACACAGCTGGATTAACTTGTCTGGCTGGCCACCGTTTCAGGTCACGACGTCTTTGGTGGCAAGAACGACCGACAATATCCCCATCCTTTGGTGGCAGCTCCTGTGCCGTGTTACCGTGCCCTCAGGAACAGCAGCGTAACTGTTTGTGGGGCTGCACCATGAGTCACATGAGAAAACTGAAAAAAAACCACAAAACCCCAAAAACGCTGTTTATCGGATGGGATCCGTGCCCTGCCCCTGTGACTGCTTGGTGGGTCTTCATTAACCTCATTGCATTCCCTGGGATCCAAAGCCCTTGCTGTTGGAAGTGGGGCTGGACCGAGCCCCTCGTGCCTCAGGGGAAGCTCTGGCTGCAAACTCAGGCTGGGATCACCGCTGGGGAGGGACCCAGGCAGAAGTCAAGCGTCAGCAGCCCATCCTCCCTTCTCTGTCCCTTGGCTGCAGACCACAGCATCCCAGATGTTTTCCAAGAACTCATTTTTCTACCTCTTGGCTGCAGCCTGCGGGGTTGTGCAAGCCTCTGATGGTCCGTGCCCGACTCTCCCTTTGGCAGAATTTAAAGCCACCTTCCCCAGCCTTGCCAAAAAGCTAACAGTGCCCTGTCTGAAAAGAAGGACTAAAGAGGGGAAAAGGTTGATTAAAGGTTGTAAAAACCGCTGTAGCGTGGAGAGTTGACACTCACCCAGTACTGGTGTCAGGGCATCAGGTGAAACAAGAAGGAGCAAAGTCCAGGCCAGAGGGAGGGTTGTTTTGGTTTTTTCCTCCTGTCCAGCTCCCTTGCGACCCCAGAATGCCTTAAATGTTGGCACAACAGGACGCACTCAGGGAGCAGCGGTCTCCCTGGGATCCCAAAACATGAAGCCACATCTGGCTTGGGCTCTGCTCCCTGCCCACCCATGGGACCTCCCGGGGAACACGCTGAAGCCTTTGCCGGTTTTCTCTTCTGCAGGATGAAATTCTCTTGACTCCCTGGAGGGATTTTCCCGTCCAAGACACGGATCCGTTCACCCCCCCGGTAAGCTCTGTGCACTCTGTGTGGCTCTGAGAGGGGAGCGGGGCAGTGTCAGGGCAGCAGCTGCCTCAGTTTCCCCATCTCCATTCTCCTGCTCGCTCCTGGTTCGCAGGGACCCTCTACACGGTCACAGCGAAGGTCCAAACCCCCGAGAGGCTGGAGCTAAGAGGAAAAGCTCTTGGCTTGCTGCCCCCATTAGTTCCCTGGTGTTTTCTGTGGGCAGGATGAAGAGAAATGGGATTTCGTCCTGGTAAGCGACATCCATGAAGTCGGCAGCGAGAAGGAGATCAAGAGGAAGAAGTTCCTGGATGAACTGAGTAAAAAGGGGTTCACCATCAAGGTGAGGGGCTGCAGAAGGGAAAGGCAGCAGATTCTTGGCTATTTTGTTGTA